CCTAAGTTTTTCCTACTTGTTTTCTCTTATTACAAGAGAGATTAATTGTTGTTATCTCCTTGTATTTAGAGAGTGTTATTGTAATTCTCCTGCTGTAGTGAAATCCCCCTATACTTGCCCGTGGACGTAGCCTAAATTGGGTGAACCACGTAAATACTTGTGTCCAATTTTTAGCCGCATTTTCTCAATTCCAATATCATTGCAAGCCAAACTTGACCCACGTTTTCCTAACAAGATTGACATTCCCAAAATTGGTTTTGGACATATATTGGCATACTCCGTGGAGGACAAGGATGAAGAGCCTGAGAAGTTTATGACGAGATGGATGATTGTGCGAAGCATTAATAAGTGCACATGAGATATGAACGGGTTTCTTTTACTGTTTTTCCCCAATTTTCAAGATTATACCGTTGTTGGCTCGAGGTCAGGTTGCACGTCCCCTCGTAAGTTTGTAGTATTTAGTAATTTTCAGTATTAATAAATACTCCACTAGGAGATGGTATTCATGAAGAAATCACCTTGCATTCTCTTTGCCAAGATTCAACTCCCGGTGGAGCCAAGCCTACATATGCACCTCTTGCTGGAACATAATTATCACTAATATACCTGAATTTGATAATCTCTTTAAAAAGTTTAGACTAGAAATAGAGTCCAAATGATATCAATTGATTTATTCAATAGCGGAATGAAAATCGATCTACAAATGCAGTTACCTGTCTTTGACTAATAATAGGCCACTAACATTGCCCCGTTTAGCTGAAGGTGGAAAATCTTCAGATTCTGGAAAACTGTATGGCCAACTTTGAACTTCTTCCAACACCTGAATGATTATTGTTTATGAATTTCCGATCATATGTATAGTGCATTTTTAGACGTTGATAGGTACATTGAACCTGATTCTTTGCGTCCTCCCAGAGAGAAAGCGGGTCGTCACCTTCCATATTAGAATTTAGATACATGAAAACTGGACCGAAGACTTTCTTCCAGGGCTCACCTTCCCCAAATTTAGGCACTAGATCGATCCCGGCATAGTGTGCACTAATAAACATCTGAACATACCATACCGTATTGATCTAGTTATATGGCTGCAGCAATTAACTAATTAGATACTTAATAGTACATACTTACAGCGAGAGTAGTTGGGCCAACATGCGAAGTAAGATTTTGTTTGAGAGGTCCTCCTGATCGGAACTCGCTGCTAGGACTGATCTGCCAAAACCCAACAGGTGGATCCATACATATCCAGCCGTGAAGTTTGAGATCCTGGTTCTCGCACGAATACTGATACTTATCATCCACCTGAGTTAATTAAAGAGCAAAATAAAAGGTGAATATATACATTTAAGAATATGATACTGTTGGGGAGCAACAATGTCATTCCTAGTTCACGAATGAGTCACTCAAAGTGGTTGAATGTCATAAAAGATTAATCCTTCCCTGACTGGACACTAATTGATTTTCCTCCCAATTTAAGAAGTTGTATTAGTGCCATTTTCATAGGGTCCGAGCAAGGAGAGTGTCCATTGAGGGCGTGATTGTTGGCGAGAAAAAAATGTCATTCTTAAGCCTGAGGATTGGGTCACTCAAAATGATGGTGGTCAAATGCCGTAAGGTTTAAACTTCCCTCGTTGAACAACAATTGGTTTTCCAATGATATGAGACTGTTGAAGCGTCCAACAGTTACAATCAAAAAACTTGAAAAAGTATAATACCTCTCCTTTAAATTCTGGCTCCACAGGATTCACAAGAAGGACGGCTTCGGGATATGCCAATTGTTGGCCTCGTCCCGGTAAACGATCATCTGGTAAGGGCATATACCGTTGCCTGTTATCTGTCATGGCCATATAGTGAAACCTAAATATTCATTCAAATTAGTAAAATCTTGTAAAATTATTAACGAATGAAGATTTCGGTTTTACTTGATAAAATCAAATTTTCTTCTAACAGGGCATTTAGAATCACTGATAGATAAGATGGGTGAAATAGATGTTATACTTGTCTTTCCGAAGCTTAAATGCAATTCTTGTTTCGTCAAGATTAAAACCGGGCCATCCCTCCAAATGCTCGTAAATGGCATATGAATAGAAGCCGGAGCAACCGCGAAGCATTACGAACCTGGAAATCATTTCCCTCACTGTTAACATGATTTCAACATATAAGCAGCATTTCAATACATTACGAAGTTTTCATAACCTTATGTCTATATTTAATGGAGCAAGCTTGCCTTCGACCGAGGTATCCCATGTTCTCGAGAATGAGAGTTCTACCTGTTCCTCAGATTCTACTACAACTTTAAAATATGTTCCACTGATCCTGCATTGTCGCTTCTTCTGGTTATATTTTTTAACAGAAAGACTCATATAATTAATTGTCAAAACATTCCAGGACAATGACCGATTATTGCAATTTCTCAGGATACCCTCTTTCAGCTTCTTAATTAAAATATGTCTACGGTTAACTAATTGATGAGCTCCAGGAATAGTAGAAGCCATATTCAAAAGGATGTTATTATTTCTTCTTCATATCTTTTCATTTCATTGACAACCACCAAAACTCGTGAAGTGTAATCTAAAATTGACTCTAATTCATTAATGAAAAGCCCTTCATATTCTTCCCTCAACGATTGGGGATGTACCTTTTTTTTTACTTTGCTCGCACCTTTGTAGGTGTTTTCAAGAATCTCCCGTGCTTTCCTTGAAGTAGTAGCATTCGAAATATTTTGAAAAATTGTATCATCAAGTGCTTGATGAATCGCACTAAAAGCTTTTTGACCCTTCATCTTAGTTACTTATTGCTAGTCTCTTTGGGCTTGAGACAAGCTTTCTTCGTTTTGAAGTTCAAAATTTCCAAGATATGCCTTCATAGGAATACCCCACGTACTATAATTGTCATTGAAGAGTCGAGGAATTGGAAGAGAGTCGTTATTTACATCTTTTCTTCTCATACTTTTATAACCTCACTTTGATACCACTTTTGTTGGAAACTTGGAGATGAAACAATTTAAGAGATGAGATGATAAGTTCAAGCGAACCTTCAACTTTTATTTCTTGAATTGGATTATTACAAGAATGCTAGAATCACAAGTTTTTTATAGGCTTTACAAAGTATGTACCAAATCTTGTACATGTATTCACCATTATTACATTCTTCCTCCTAAAATGATTCATGAATATATTAAAATACATGAATCAACTAGTACATGAATCTATTATACATGCATTCATTAATTAGAATATATGTATCACAACAATACGTACATGAACCAATTTAATTTATAATCAAGTTCAAATTTCTAACACTAGTAGAGCTGGAATAATCACATTTATTTGACATGTTATTTTTATCGAGAGAGAGAGTAGTACCGTTCAAATGTTCCTGTTGTTACAGTACTTCCTGCTGGACTCCAAACAAGGTCCCAGTAGCTGCAAAGAATTTCAAACAAACTGTTATGTCTCAACTAATTAAGAAATTAACGTACTTTTCCAGATAATGGAGAAGCACTTTCTAGCTTAGATAGTATTCATGATTGATAAGTATAATTTGTACATTTATAGCGCCTATTTATTATACAAAATGCTAGTTAATTGAATCGATATTTCACTCATTTTTGTTTATTTTTGAATCAACCCTGAGCGTGGATAGAGTCTGAACAAAATGAGAATAAAAAGAGAGATGGTTGAGTCTGTGTGTTGAGGCATGAAACTAGGTCGGATAGGTGGCACCAGCATCATGCAAATTGGAGAACAAGGCAAAAACAGGAGGGATGAAACTGGGTAATTTTCGAGAGAGAGAGGGGAAATCAAACAAACGTGCGAGCGAGACTCATAGTACAAAGATTTCGAGCCCGGATGCTGTGTAAAGAAGAAAATATCCTTGAATTTGTTAATTCAGAATAATTACCCTCTATTTGATTCTTCATTGAGGACTTCAAGCAGATTGTCGATGCCATTATACCTAATTCCAGTCACAATGCCATCTGGTTTTGATAATGTGACTCTAAGAATGCCATTGTCCATAACCACCTATAAAATCAAACAACCGTAGTTTTGATACACGAAAAAATTAGTTATATCAAGATTCAAAAATGCTACGTTGCATTCGTAAATTACATTGTGATCTCGAACATGCAACCGTAGTCTTAAAGGTTTCATTGGCTTCTTCGAACTGCTGGATTGAAATTTATGGAATAAAACACCAAGATGTTTGTTCTGTAATGTATAATTTCTTGCTTCAATGCATTGCTGATATGATCAAATCATAGAATATATATAATAGTGCGTTTAGATCGATCTTGACTTGAACTGCAAAGGAAGCATGCTTGTAGGAATTTACATCTGTAATCTCTTTGCTTACCGGGCATTAAATAGTTGGTATGAAACATGTAGTTTAGCTTGCAAGAAACCCAATAATAAAGAAATCATGGCTCATGTGTGAGACAACTGCCTCATAATTCTTTGGAGAGTTTCAACATATATAACTACCGTGAATATGTAAATAATGTCAAAGAGCATCTTCAAAAGACTATATTTACGATAGGGTAATTATATTGCCACAACAAAATTTACTTACTACACCACATTATAATTTCACCACATTTAAAATATCATTTTAATAAATACACTACAACCAATTCTCTACTATACCCCTAATACAATAAAAATGAAAAATGAAAAAAAAACTGTGGTGTACACATCCTCCATTATTAATCGCCTTCTCTTCGCAACCCTTTCTCAACAGTAATCGCGATCAGAGATACTCCCTGGACGGTNCTGTACCACTACCACCACAGGGATAAGCAAACATTACACCATCCACCACCATAACCGTCGCCGAGTTTTGGTGGCGGGTGGTTTATTACATGAGCCTCTTCAATTACATTGTAATCAAAAACTGTTGTTATTTCTCCTCAATTCTCTCAGACCGAAAAAATCCTGATGGTATCTAACAATGTTTCTTTTCCGGGAAACCGGAAAAACTTGCTGTCGTCCTCCCCCGGCGTCGCAACCTTCTTCTACGGCGGTTTGAATTTTCTGTTTCGTATTTTCTGGCATTGGGCAATGGCGAAAGCAGACGATTCGGAGCGAAAAGAATGGGATTCTCATGGACTGCCAACGAATATTGTGGCCAGTCCAACAAGCTTAGTGGATTCAAGAAATATAAAGTCTCCAAAATCAACTTTTTGCATCCACAAACTAGGTCTTGTGATTCATATTATACAATCAAAATTGATTTCCCCAACTTCTTCAAGTATATGGGCTGCGTCAATGGCGGCGTCGAGGGTGCTAAACCTCAGCAATTCTTCACTCCGAAGCCTAATATACCGCCTCCTCCTCGTAGGTTCAGGACTTATGAGTGAGATGAAATAGTCATAGGATCTGTTCTTCTTGCCTTCAATTTTTCATTTTTGATTCCAGATCTGTAATGTTCTTATTTATTGGGAGAAATTAACTTTTTAAAGTGAATTAATTAAAAAAAAAAAACTTCTTCAAGTATATGGGCAAGCCTGTGTTCTTATTTCTTGCCTTCAAGTTTGAATGTCAGCAAGATGGAATAATTGGTTTGGAGAAGACTTGAATAGACAAGAACATGATTGTGGTGGTGTATCCCTTAAAAAAAAAATTTATGTTAAGAATTTATATAACATTGTGGGTAATAAAGTAATTCTACTTAAGGTGATTTAAGTAAATAAAAAATTTGATTAAAATTGTGGTGTAACAATAAAATTTTGTTGTGGTAATATAATTACCCTTTACGATACTCTCTATTTTAACTTTTTAAATTAAAAAGTAGGTTTAGCTTTTCAAATTTTGAGAGTCAAACTTAAACCTTTATTCTTGATTATTGCATTTAATATTCTATAAATTTTATAGTTTACTTTTAAATTATTCAAATTATATTTGAATTAATTGACTGTTGACATATAAACAAATATATGTTATTTGAAAGATAAAGAAAAATCAATAATGATTTCTCGAAAAAAAAAAAGAGGAGAAAAACGAAGAGTCAAAGTAGAGCATTGTTAGAGTGTATAAGAAATGAAATATTTAACTTTAAATATGCTCTTTATTATACATAAGAACTCTTTATAACTAGAAAATCTCTTGTAACATTCTCTGTCTAGAGAAGAAAATAGAAGAATTTTAAGTAGCAAAGGTACCTAGTATTAGGATGTACTGAGTAATATAATGAACATGATATTATCTTCTTTTTCTTTTTCAATATTATCCACTATATTGGAACTTTAGTTTTCATCTTAAAATGTCAACACTTTAAGCCCCTGTTTGGGAGAAATTATTTTCACACAAAATAGATTTTTTGACCGTTGGAATGGAGCCTATTTCTGCCAAAATTGACATGCCCACAACAATTGACAACTCAAATGCATACCATATTATGCCATTGTCATTTCTGTCCTTTATCGCTGGGCAAGTTTAAAATCATGGAGGAGCTCTCATGTCATTTTACACCCCTACAACATTTCACCATTAAAATGGTCACTGTAATGGTTCAATAATTACTGCATGTCCGGGTCCCACTCACTTTGTCAAACGGTAAAAAAAATGAATTAAAATTTAGCCAAATTGGCTCGCAGACAACCTATCAACCTATAAGTGTAGTAGCACAAGTTTTTATATGCTGTTTATATATTCATCTTTAGTAGATGTACATGCCCCGCAAGAATCTTGAAGTCATGAGTCTTGGATTGAATTGCTAATTTGAGCGTAATGAGCTCTAATATAAAATTGCGATTTGGAGTTTGTCGTAAATGATCATCATTAAGAGTAGTAACATAAACCATAAATCCTTGTATGTTGTTTATTTATACATCTTTAGTTGATGAAGAATATTAATCTTAACGCACTACTATCTAATTAACCCATCTTATACAACATATAAAGTGTAAGATATTTTATGAAAAATATTATTTATTAATACAACAAGTAACTGTGTTGATTTTGAAAATTTTATAGAACGAGCCAATTATTACATTAACATGCACTAACATTTTTTTTTTTTTTACTCTTTATCTTGAATTGAATTATGGACCCAAAGCCCCCATAACTAATTAACAACTGTTCTATTACAAATTAGAAGTGGCAACCTACGATATTGTTAATATCTTATGTTATAAATTTAATTATACATTATAGGTCATCATGTCGGAAATTTACTTAATTATGAACAGTGGAAAATAAAAATAATCTCAATTCTACATTTAGATAGAATCAGTGATAGAAAATATGCCTTTGTTGAATTCTATAAACTCCTTTACTTATCTTGAACACGAACAATCACGATCTACAATCCATAGTCATCCAATTATCCAGCCTCCAACGAAAATTCACACAGGGAACAAGAATGAGAGAATTACGATTTCTCTTTTCTTGCGCTAGTAAGAATATGAATCGTGTTCTATTTTTCTAAAACCCTAATGGTTTATTAATATAAGTTCAAGTGGACTCGATTCATCTCTTAAACTTAACCCGATCCAATATTTAATTAATCTAATTAATTAAATGTGGATCATGAATTAATTAATTTGGGTCTGTTAACAAGTAACCAAATTAATTAATTATTTAACACTTGTTTATTAATTAATTGGTGAATTATATTCTTTTATTTCTCCTTTAATGTGTGACCTATTAAGTTTCATGATCATGATATTTAACGACGTGAATTATTATTTTGGTATAATCAAAATCAATAAATTAAAATACCATCTTTTAATTTATCAACAATTCACATCCTTCATCTCAGATTGACATCTAATAATGTGTCAGAGCAATACATGTGACCAAATTTATCACCTGGTACGATAAAATCAAATTTGTTCATTTACCGTGAAACTATAATCATTTTGTCAATATGATCCGATCAATTGTGAGATATAGATATGTATCAATCTCAATTATCTATCATATTTTTCATCCCACTATTAAGTCAACGTAAATCGAAAACTCTTTTTCGACTTATGAGTACAGATTGGCTAAGGATTTCGCTATCAACTAACTAAATGAAATGTGGATCATAATCTCTTACTATTTAAGACTGACGAATCTTCTATTGGTCAATCACAACCTTTAAATAATTCTTGACATACCCGAACGAAGTCGTATTAGCGACCCTTGGAAGAGTGACACCCAACATCACCAAAGTATAACTGTCTTCATATAAAGTACTATGATGACTTCAAGTCGAAGGACCAATTTTACTACTGAATGTTAGAGATTGACCACTGACACTCAAATAGTTATCCATATTGAATCTGCCTAACGAGTCTCCAATGTTTTGTTCTATAATAAAACATCCATGTGTTCATTTAAGTGTCACCAAACTTTAACTTGTGAGATCAGCTACTCACTTCAAAAGTAAGAAATGCCACACTTGATGATCTCTCCGTAATAATGATATCTGTATCTTGTTATGACTTAAGACCACAGATGATTTAAGATTCAGTCATATATAATTTGTATCTCACAATCATAACTCCAACTCCTTGTGAAAAACAAACTAGTAAGATTTGAATCTATTTGCACTAGATCCAATTATTTATTTATCTAATATTATAAGAGTTTACATGACGATCATGTTTATACTGCGATAACTCTTTGTCAACGAATCTGTAATATTATCAATTGTGGGAATTCATTGTTTCTTTTTGGCATTTTTTCGTATTATCTCTTTGATGAAATGATACCACCTTAACACATGTTTGGATCATTGATGAGACTTTAGTTCCTTTTCTTTCACGATAGCTCCATTGTTATCAGAATACAAAGGTATGTGATCAACAGTGTTAAGAACTACTTCGAGTTCAATAATGAACTTCTTGATCCACACAACTCTTTGTTGCTTCTGAAGCAACAATGTATTAGGTTTCTGCTATTGATTCAACGATTGTTTAATGTTTGGACCTTTCCAACTAACCATTAAATTATTAAGAGTAAACCATATCTTGATTGAGATTTGCTGTCATTCTAGCGTGACTAAAAGTTAACATCAGTGTATTCATGAATTCTCGGTTCATTTTCTCCATATAAAATCTTTTCAAAATTTTATTTATATAAATTGAGATGAGTCAAACAGTATTCTAGATCTTCTCTATAGATCACGTTGATTCTCCCATATCTTTCATGAAGAAATTATTTGA